ATTCGTGACATCACGCACGTGTAGTTAGGTACCAGCCTGCCGGTTGCGTTTGCTTCCGTAGATTCTAATTAGTTTTAAACTAAATAAACCCCAAGTGTGGGAGGGTAGAGTGAAAAATTGAAAACAGATTTTCTTAAAACTAGTTACAGACTAGATATGTAGTTGTGATTTATGTGGGCTATTTTGATTCGTAAGTGCGTCCGATTTGGTTCCTCATTCGACCGCCTGAGTCGTTTCTCTTAAGAATGGGAATGTTTATTATCATCTTTGCCATACAAAATAAGCAGCGATGTCAGCCAGAGACACATAACACATTTTCATACGTCGGGAATGGGATCGAGTTTGTTTTTGTTTTTAAATAGGCCTTGTCTTCAAAGGCGGCGTTCGGGAGGAAATGTGTAGGAAGGAAGGATAATTTGGGTAAATACCTGGCGTGGCGGATGGGGCGTAATGCGAGAAAGGACGTCGTTCGCGCGCTGTTTTGTTTCCTTCCAGTAATCCGTTAGGACGATGTTGTTTTTGAAGATTTGTCAGGTCCGTTGCCTGTCCTTGGATAAATTCACGCGTAAAGCTGCTTATTTTGAACAATACTTATGTCGGCGCATGAAATTAGTGTTCAGTGGGAAATGCAATAAAAATAGCCCGTGGTTACTCCGTTAGCCTTGCGTTAAATTTTCCGACTTTTCCCTTGCTCGAACGTTTCAGAAATTCAAGTCTAAAATTTAACTCCGGCAAATGTGAAGACCGTTAGGAAGTCCTAACTAATAGCTACGTTATCGAGAAACTTGTGGTCTCTCCACTAGTCAGCCTTTTGTATGACTTGAAAGTGCATTACCGTTTTCACACCCTCATTTTTAAGATCCATTTTAATAATATACTTTCATTTACGGCAAGACATGGAAGAGGAGGGGGGACATCTGAAAGACTGAATTGACGGGCAAAAAAGAAACAGTAGGAACAAAAACATTGGGCCTTCAGAGAGGCAGAAAGGAATGTAAGAAGTGTTACCAATTTAATAAAAGATGAAAATGCAGATTCCCGTCGTATTTTGAATAGGTCGGAGAAATGCTTTTGCCATTTTTTTTGAATTAGCAAGGTGTCAGCAGTTTTAGGAAGGCTGAAATACTTATAGCTGAGCCATTAGTACCTGAGCATAGTTCTGATTTTTTATACTGCTATTGACAATTTTAAAACATGTTAAATCGTCAGGTATTGATCAGATCCCGGCAGAAGTTCTCCGCGCAGGAGGGCCGTCTTCGGTTGCCCCTATCAATGGCACGGTGTTCCAAGCGGTCTCTTCCCTTCAGATTTTGTATGGATTTATTGTCATCGTGTACGTGCTACATGTCCGTCCCATTATGCTTCGGTCTGATAATAGACCCGCAGATTGTGAAGTGCTCACTGCGTGGCTGCCGTTCCTCCTCGTCGCTTATTCTGTCCTCGGGTGAAGGCCGAAGTGGCTTCTTTGCGTCAGTGAAACAATTTACGAATTTTTGTTCAAACTTAGGTAAGGTTGGCCGTGTCGGTTGAAAGTGCGCAGACTTCCATGGACAGGCACTTCTCGTGTTCTGCAAACTTACACCATAAATGAATAATCGTCTGTGTACGTCACTCCGTTCCTTGGTAGACGGCGTGCTCCGTCTGCATCCGTTAATATTGCTGCGTGTTCAATATTTCAGTGCTCCGTATTGCTCTTATGAGCTTCGTCGGTGCCTCTGTCCGTACTACAGAGGCATCGCCGTGAATTTCTAACAACCGAATGGCGCTTCAAGTTTCGTACTTAATTCTGTCGGATTTTGAAGGAGGACAACTCATAACCGGATCCCGAACACGGAGCGTAATTTTCGACCTCCCTCTGGTTGACAAAATGAACCCTCGCTACACGACAGAAATGGGAAATTGGTGACGTTCCTGTGTTTGAGCACCGCGATATGACCGATGGCGAAGCTCCACGTTGTGGCCCTTTTAACCACAGAGGAAAGCGTCAGAGCTGTACAGTATTCGGATGAAGACACTGCCGACTGCAGAGTTGTCTGGTTGCTGTGGCCGCCCCCTCCTGCACCCCTCCCCCTAGTCGGTCTCAAAAGATTTCTCTCAATCCTTGTTGGCTATTCTGCGGAATTTAGTTCAGAACCAACTTCGGGATTTAAACGGACGCGTTATTACTGTTCGTGTGTTCGTTCTGGCACTTAACGTTCTTCAGTGACTAGTCCTTGGTTCGATTTTAACCTAGCTGGGCTGTCGACATATTTTATACACTAGAAAGGAACCGGCGTCAGGTGGTTCTGTTTTGAGGTATGAGGCTCTGGGATTTCGATTCTAGACATCTGTTTTCGGCGGTCCTCAGTGAGCTACACGGCCGTCAATCGCTCGCTCCATAATAATTACATTAACGTAAAGTGTAGGCCGAATCGAACACAGATAAACCATTTAACATCTGAATTCGTTTTCTTGCCAAAGCATTTAATGTTGAGGATAAAAAGGAAATTAACGGAAAGAAAACCACGTAAGGCGAGGCCCTGGGTGGAGCTTTCGTAAGGATTTCGTCTTTTAGAACACGAATTGGAGCTTGAAATATCAGTGCGTCGGCTCATTTATTTTGTAATTTGAGCCCAGTAAGGAAATGAGTTGCCGGTCCGTGTGTAACGCCGCTCTGAAAACCGGAGAGATAATTGTTGCAGGGTAGCGGCGTCCCAAGGGGCTTGAACACACGCACATCCTGTTGTTCGCTATTGCCATTCAATTGAATTTTAAACTCGCAAAAGAAGAAAACAGGAAGCACTTGTTGCTTCCCGCACAGCGTTAGACAGTCAGGATGTTTGTCTGGATACAGCAACAAGTAGTGACAGTCGCAGCTGTACTAATTACAAACTTGCTAATTACTTGCGTGTGAAACGGAGCTCCTCCAGACGGTGACGAAATGATGTGGTGACGCTGTTCAGTGGCTGTGAGCCGCGGGGAGCGATTAATATGAATAGCGAAAAATTATAACTCAGCATGCGCGCGGGAGATTATTGAGGGGCCAAGGCGGTGGAAGATTGGCTGTCTGCGACCCACCTGCATCCTGTAACCTCCTGAACCAAGATACTTTTTGTCCAGCCAGTAATTACTTACACGAAAAATGTCTTTTATTCTACCCCTGATTATGCCCTTTGGCTCCTCTTGATTCGGAAACATCGAATCTTTAAATATTTACGCGTTGGGGTGGGGCTGCGAAGTGTTCGACAGTTCATTCTCTGTTTGTAGTTCGCGGCCGGTCGGACGCACAGCGACCGCGATCTGTCACTGACGACGTTTCCGGAAAGTTCTTTTTGGGCTAAGGTTTTGATATTTCGGTGGTGTCAACAGGCTTCGTTCTTGCCGACAACTTTTTCACGACAAAGCACTCGTAACTAACAAACCGAGTAGTACACAGAACAGAGTCCTTGAGAATCTGATAGTCGCTCACCTGGTCTAGAACATTTCCGCCATATACTGAACCCGAAGATTAATTGCTGTGTTGACAACATCCCACTACTGGTTTCTATCCTGAGCCGGATGAATCCAATCGACGCCCTGTTTTGATAGTATGAATAGCCTTCGCGTAGGTCTCCAAAGTAGTCTCTTGCCACAATGTCTTCCGACTGAAATGTATGCATTTTAAAGGCCTGCGCGTGCTACATGTCTCACCAATCTAATTTCGATGTATGTCTTTACTGTGAAATTATTTCACAAAACCACTCGAAATGGCAATTTTTCGTGTCGCGGTCGTCTAACACGAAACGGCGGTGGTCGGGCAACATCCCACATTCCTCACTTCACTCTGCATAGGCCCAAATATTTTCCTGATTAGCCGGTCTCGATTTCATGTCGTGGTTGTAGGCTGTATTTTTTATATTCAATTCTAAATGATAATTTAGCCTATAAGAAAGTGATAAACTGTGGTACTGATAAGACCCTTATACAAAAGAATATTCAAATGGAAGAAGGGAGAACATTGATTATATATATATATATATATATAGGCCTAGCACTGAAGTAATTGTTCGCCTGGCGCGGGCCGAGGAGGGCTTAATAAATGCTACTCTTATTGTAAATTACTTCTAGACGAATTTCTTACGTCACTTACTTTTAGTTGGTGGTATTCTTAAGAAACTCCGCGAAGTTTGTCGGTTCCTGCCCCACTTTGAAGCGAAATATTCGAAGCCCAGTTCCAGCAAGCGGGAAGTGTCGACCGCGGACTGGGGTTTAGGCGCGTTGTTCTCAGATAAGACAGCTGACAGGCTGGGGCGCTTTTCCACTTGAATTCCGCGGGGCTGCTCGTGACGGAGTACCCTGGACGCTCGCCTCTCACAACTTTATAGTACTCGTAGCTACAGCGCGCGCCGGGGACCGAGGGCGAGAGGTGAGGCCACACCGCCACAAGCAGTGTGCCTGCGCCCACGTAACGCGACGCCCATCGGATTTGTTGTACGTAATGCAAACAGCATCTTCAGATGGCGGCTATCAATCTGTCGGCGTCGTGTTATAGCTGCCATGCATCACATAGCCCTCTCCGAGAAACTGATAGTCTTACAGCCGGTCAAGAAATTAACCGTCCTTCACGGACCTCGAAGTGGACCGTGTCGTGAGCCAAATGAATCCAATCCACACACACCCCACTCCGATTTCTCTCAAATATGTTGTAATTTCATCCTTTCACAAGCGCCGAAGATTCCGAATTTCGCCACACTGCAGAAGAAAAGATGCAGAATTTTGACAGAGAACAAACATAAATTGTATTTTTAATTTTTAGGCGGTTTCGTTTTAATTTTGCGTACAGTTTTCGATTTTTAACAGGACCTAACTTTTTTTTAAAAAAAATGTTTCCTCAAACACGCTATTAAGAAGTTTTCTTATCCCTGTATTACGAGTATTATTGGAAATGGGATGTGCCGACAGATTTTAGTGGAAGTCCTCAGTGTAAAACGTTACAAATTCCGTCGAACGGTTCTCTAGTCGTTATATGCGGACGGGCATGGCAACGCTTATAGGCGAATTTTTGCAAGTTTCGAACTTTGTATCATCCCGGTATCTTGCTGAGAGGGCGATGCGATGGTGCAATTTGTCTTGGTTCTTTTTCAATGGGGTTGGGGCAACAAAAATAATGGGGTTGTTGTAAAAGTGCCTGAGCTGATGCAATATAATCCGTGTGTTGTGAGGGTAACACGAGAAGACCCGTGTCAGGCCTCGTACGCTGAATAACAGCAGCACGCGTATTGTCCTTCATAGACAGCGTTAGGCGCTGCCGTTAAAGCCAACTGATAACTCTAACACTAAAATATTAACGATAAACAGATGAAAGGGTGTGGGTTGGATTCATCTGCCTCAGAGTAAGTCCATTCCTAGGCAATTATGAACCTTCGGGTTCCTTAAAAGGCGCGTTAGCTCTTGGCGTCTTTCCATGTCCTTTCCAATTCTCACTTCTCTGTTGAAAGCTGCCTAAAATAAACCGTAAGCCAATAGAAGCCTTAATAAAGGGATTGAGATATTTTTCCATGTCCGTCTCCTTTACTACTTACAGAGACAGCAGGTTGCTTGAGATGGGTCACGACCACTTCCGCTGCATGCCTTCGTCCTAGGAGTCTCGTTAGGATTGTATAGAACCAGCGTCGCGAGGCCATACAGCAATTCCAAGACCGTCTGTAACCTGCGTGTGCGGCAACTTCTTTGGCACGGGTGTTGAGCGGGACTGCCTATGCAGGCGAGATGTGTGTGTGATGGAAGGTCGGTTAATCTTATACGCTTTGAATTGCCGTGTCTGAATGCATGATTCGTCATGTGACCTATTTCTTATGCTTTTCCTAATTGTCATTTTTGTTTTAAATGTTTATACTTTTTTTTCCCTTTACATTCGTGGTCAAGATTCGAAACCCGGGTTGGAATTCGCCGGTGCTGCTGATTTAAAAGTTGCCGTCTGTTCCGCCATGCAGTGACCCACAAAGTAGCTTTTCTAAACACGTTCCTTGTGCTGTATTACTCTGCTCGCGTGTCTCAGGACTACAGATGCACAAAACAAGACAGACAGACGCAAATCGACTGACGGTCTTATGGGATCGTGTTTAACTTCGGATAAGCCAGGGATTCTCGTAGGCTAAAGATGTCCGCGGCGCGTTATTCTTTTATCTGTGCTAATCTTCGTACACGGGAAGACATAAACAGCGGATTTTGTGCGCCGTGTTTGTAAATTTCTTTGGACGCTTTGTGCTGTTTAACGACGCTTTCTCAACTGCATGATTTATTAAGTTAAGTGCTTGTATCAGCTGACCTGGCAATTTGGGTTCTTGGACCTTGGTCTAGGTGTCAAAAATGCCTCATCCTGATGTCGAGAAGAAAATGGTACGTCAGTGGCGAATGTATGAAATGTGAATCAGAATTATTCCTTGCAGATAAGAGTCTTGCGTGGGGCTAACAACCGTGTTATTAATCCATTGGGACTGAAAAGACAGGGTGTTCCTCCAAAAACGCAGGTATGTACTACGAGACCACACGGCGTTACTACCCAGATGACCAACATCGACATCTTAAGTTCGATGTCTGTTCCGACCTAAAGACACGAGGTGTAGGAATAGGCCATAGGCGAGGTCGTTGATTGGTATGAACTGAGGAAGACCCCTGGTCTTCGCTGTGTCTTTCGGTACACCAAGCGACGCGTAGGACCGTGGACTGCATAGAGAGAGAGGCCTGGCCGTCCAGTCCTTGGAATTCGCGTCACGCGCCGAAGACATTTTTCAAGGCTTTAGAGTTGTTCTTCCAAGTGACAACAATGGTATTTACCGCATTGTCGCCAAAGACTACTCTGAATGACTGTCGTTGCCGTATTGTGTGCAGTTCGGATTATCGTGATTTATCGGCGTGTCTGTCTTTCTTATTTTTCCATTAACCGCGGCTGCGTCATAACCAGATGATGCCGTAATTCGCAGTTACGTCTCTCCGCGATTGTAGTCCTTATTTTTTTGTGCGTTCATTTAAAGAACTGGCGAACTCTCGTTTTTTACTGGAAATAAAATGTGCTGAAATAATCAACCATCTTACTCTGTGTATTATCGCGATCATTTCAATTCATCGTTCTCGCCGGGCGAAACAGAGTAAGAACTGCCTCTTGAGAGTAAAATGCATCGGAAAATCTTGCTTATTGCGGCTTTCTTCATCAACTGCTATAGACGCTTGTGTGCGTAAGATTGTCGTAACAGAGCAGCAATTTGGCTGTTTCAGGGGAGTCCAAAGTGGAATTTAAAACTGTTAACTGGAGGTAACTCGTTTGTTATTTGCAGTTTCCTGGGTCTCGTAAGAGGTCTCTGATGAGGGTCTCGTAGTAGCGATAGATTTTATGTCGTCATCTGCTCTCATGCTCCGTTTCCTTGATTCGTTCTTGCTTTCCCCCTTCTTTGTTCGTTCAATCTTCACATTCCTAACAAAACATTGTTTCTTTTCTCTCAGTTAGTGTCGGAATAAGGCAAAAATAAAATGTTTTGACGCTGTTCACAAACTGGAAAATAAAAACGGCAGTGCGGTGTTGCTAAGTGTTGGTGAATCTGTATTTAACGCACACACGTGGTTTTTGTGCCTGGGTGAAACAGCCAACCAGCGATGTAGTGAGGCCCGTTTTGTCACAGAGCATTGCGCCACATGCGGGAAATTAGCCTGCAGGTTTTTGCGCCATCCGACCCCGTGTACTTCGGATTCGAGGCACACGTCATCGTGCCTCGACAAAACACGTCGCTCTCCGTGGGCTGTCGGACTGACTTCCTTCCTTCCTTCAAACTCTGTCCGCGTCTGAAGTTGCCTGACGGGTCGGGTCTAGACAGGAGACGAACATGTGAGGACATGGGAAACAAAAACGGTAGCCATTTGTAAATTTGTAATTTTAAGACCCCGTATAAAAATTTGCAGCTAGCCGAAGTGAAGCCAAGGCACTCTTCGGCTATAAGAAGTAGGTACCTACAGAAATTACTCCTTTATCTGAATCGCTGGCACTGTTTTTCAGACGTATTTTTGAGCGTGTAGTGGCTGTTTCTCCTTTAAATGTATAATACGTTAAGACCTATTTCATGTTTGTAATTACGCTGATGAAATATCTTTGACCGAACTTCAGGGTACATCATTTTACATAACTGAAGAGTTGGACGCAGCAGTGGGCTCGGGTTAGCTCACTGCTGCGTCCAAGTCTTTGTTAAAACTGTCAGAAACTGAAATTAATTTGAACGTGGTTTTCCAGACGGTCCACCTGCGTGCTTTAGTCCACTCGTGCTCCGAACAGCAACATGGAGGTTCTTCGCAAAAGTAATGAGGCATATTTTCCTCCATATTTTGCCTAGCATTGGTTCATTTTTCAGGTATAACTTCAAAGTTTCGCACCGTCGCCATGTAGATTCTTTTGATAATATGCCCCCTCCCCCAGCCGTTAGTAGTGTTTCGTCATGGAATTGGTCAGTCGTGTTTTGTTGGAAAAACAACTGTCACAAAAATTAATATTTTTGAAAAGCTCTTACATTAATGGCACTATTGGCGTTCCTACTTCAAAGGCCGTCATGTTGGTATTTAAAAAGATGACGTCAGAGTACTTTAACACGTTTCATTACAGCCGTCCGGTTTATGAAAAATAATTACAAAAGCTAATTAATTGGTGTGAAACAGAAATGTTTAAAATTTCTTTAACAAACGCTGTCATTAGGACGCCTACTTAAGAATAATTTCGATATTTTCCCTCGGCCAATGCTCTTCCTCAGATTTGTCGAGTAAAATATCGTCGGCTTTTCTAGTTTCTTTCACTGATCTTCTGAAGCACTAAATAAATCCACTCTTAGAGCGAGATGTGTCATTAAGAGCATGAAAATGTGTGATGGAATTCTGTAAAAAAATATCTTCGAAGCTGAAACGAAATTCCACCTGGCCAGCTTCTGTAACATTAACTCAACGAGCAGGACGAAATGTGCCCTGTAGGATCCCGTAGTTCGACCAAACGTGGGCCAAACAAATTCTGTTGGGCCCACCCCAACCGATGTCTTCATGTCGTGGCGCTTAAAGGCAGGGTGACGTCGAGTAGCATATTTTTCATAATTGCTGTCCACAAGTTTAAACATTTTCAGGTATATTAGATGTAATTGTGGGTGTCGCAAAGCAGAACACTCATTTATCCTTTGACCAGAAAATTAATAATGCCCGAGAGTGTTTCTCCATTACATTTTGCTGTGTGATGTAGTGGCGTCTGGAAGTGTTCATTACTTAATCATGGAGGTGTCAGAATTACGGCTTAGTATATGACGTAAGCTCAAATTGCTAGCTGAAAATGAGGACTGAAATGCAACAACACATCAATACTTAACAGAGCGGGGGAGGACATTACCCCCTCATATCTGCAGTTTCTTGTTACAAAGAATGACCCTAACCGGGCATTTGTGTCTGTTGCATGACAAATGTGAACCGCGACACCATGTAATTTGTAACAGAATTCACCGTCCCTTGAAGCTGATCTCTTAAACGCTTGTTTGGTGTTTTAAAAATAATAACAACAAGAAAATTCGTTGTAGGAGTCTAATATCAAATTCTCAAATAACACTAGCTTTCATTAATGTCAAGCCAGCGGAATCTTGCAATACTGCGGTAATCTCGGATATTTTTAATTGATACCGTAATAATCAATTATTAACTTTGTACATGAAGTTTGAAAGCATTCCACTGGCTACGTAGGATTTAAGGTTTTCAGGGCGGTGAATCTGAAGACGGCTGTGTTCTGGGTTGTTGCACGGTGTAGTCTGGTAGAAGATTACCCGACGTTTCCTTGCTGCCTCCATCGTCGCCCTGATAATGGAGGTAGCAAGCACCTCTGAAACGTCATCTTCATGCTCGCTGGCTGTTATTCTGCTCCATTAATAGAAAGTAAGTTGAGGCTCATAAATAACACGCCTTTGAATATATACGAGCAGTGGGCTACGTAGTGAAGTCAGGGACTGTGCGATGGGACACGATGTTGCTTGGATGGAGGAATTGTATTGGGGAAATCGCTTGGAACTTGGACTTTATGTTACAGGTCAGCCCTTGGGAAACGTGAACGATTGGGAGGCTGGTGGTCCAGGGACATAGCGGGATTTCGTAGGGCCTCGGTATGCATCATTGTATCATGTGTTTCCGTGGCAATACTTTGACACTGAATTGTTTGGCGCGTGCTGCGCTCTAGAAGATTATATTTAACTACTTCGTCGATTTCTAGCGCGTTCGGACAGGCAGAGTTGAAACATTCACTCAAGAGGTAACGAAAGCGGTGAGATTGTTGGTGATGTTTGGTTATGTTAGGTGCATGATTTCAGTATTGAAGAGACCTGGAAATTGCTGCTAAATATTTAATTCAGGATGAATATGGCCGTACAGCAAACGAGTTTTCAGAAGAAGTCCAAAAGCAGAGTTCCGTATATCCCCGGTTCAAAACAGTCTATTCAGAATGCCCAGCTCTTGGTTTCTTCAGGTGTTCCTTCCTTTGATCATGCGATAGGTAACGATTTTATTACATCATATCGCACTGTATAATTATGTGTCTGCTATATGAAAGTAAATTTTAATTTATCTTTTCTGCGATTTTTGCTACGTTCTGTGTTAACCTAACCTAAGTATTAAATTTTGTTAATTGATGTCAGCCACTGTTTTGTGTTATTAGAAGGTAACGTGATATTTTTATCTGTGACAGTTGCGTATTTTAGATTTAATTTCGTGTATGTTTCTAATTATAGTAGCAGCAACTTCATCATTAATCAAGGAAAACAAAAAAATGTTAATTCTCAGGAATATCTGTATTTACCACTGATACTTACCAGACTTTTATTTGTTTCACAGGTGGAGGTATTCCTGTTGGAACAGTAGTGTTGATTGGTAGGTACCAAAATGATAAATAGGGCAGATAACCAGTTTTTGCTTTCTTATGCAATATGTGGCCATGTTGTCCTATTGTCCTAAAGTAGTATGAAGCTTATATGTTGTTAATGAATTTAATGTTATATCTCATTTACACTAAGACATACATGCAATTGTATATGTATTTTCCTCCATCATATTTTCAGAGGAAGACAAGTATGGAACCTATGCAAAACTACTTCTAAAATACTTCCTAGCAGAGGGAATAGTGTCTGGTCATTCTCTCATTGTTGCAAGTCAAGATTCGGACTGTGAAAACCTGGTAAGTTATGTTATTTGAATTCTGTATTTCTGCATTTGCCATATATCTGCATACAAAGAAATGTTTTGTATTCTTTTACATAATATGACAGTTACTATTATTGCAAACAATTTTATTGTGTAGCTCATGTGTTCCTATCTTATTTATTGGCATTCACCTACCATGTTTATTACATTTGTTTTATATTCCACATTCTTGTTGAAATGATCATCATGAATTCTGATATTTTGTTTGATTATCCAGTGTCATTTTTGTTGTCCCAACTCTTGTCATCTCATTGACCAATAACAGAATTCCATGCGATTTACAAGAATAGCGACAGCTTACGTTTCATCTTGCGTTATAGAATAATGAAAAGAATTCATGTTAATGGTGCTAGGTTCGTGAACTGCCAGCACCAGTGCAGCTTGATGATTCTGTTCGTACCAGTGACTCTGATGACAAGATGACTATCGCTTGGCGATATCAGAACATGCGAGTGGTCCAGTCATCCCCAACCAGCACCAGTTTTGGGCACAATTATGATTTAACAAAGTCTCTAGATGCTGAAATTTTGAAGGCAGCAGATGTTTGCTACTGGACTGGATGCACAGGATATGGACAGAGTGAAAGTAAGATGAATTTTTGTGGCTATTATTGTGGTCAGTTCCTTTCTGAAAGAGATTGGAGATTGGAGATCGGGGTTTTCTTCTGCTGCATATAAAGTAATCATGGAGGAACATGTTATTTTAAATTTACTAAATCTGATAAGTGAATGAACAGTGGCGTACTTCATTTTAGAAGTAATTAAATTCATTACAGAAGGTTAATTTAATTTCTCTGTGAGATTTGAGGTTCTTGAGCGAAAATGTGGACTGTGAACTTTTGGGTTCTGACGCAATGTATTATTATAGGTGGTTAGTAACCACCTATTTGACTAGACAGCTTGTCACGCCAGAAGACCATAATTAATAATTTCTGTACATTCACAAGTACCTATCGCAGAGAATGCGACAAGTATCCGATTTTAAGGAAGTTCAGTGGTGTTGTCAAAATGATATACTTTTCTTATGCTCTCATTTCATGTGGTTGCTTAGAGATGGATAAGATAAATGCAGTGACACTTTTCATAAACAGTAGACAAATGAATGTCGCAGTCAGATCATTCTGTTACATGATGCTATTCAATTTGATCTATTGAAAGTGGCATTTGAAAAATCATAGGTAAAAATATAAAAGGGTTGGATTTGAGCCTGCTTTATGTTCATGCAATTGAAACTTATTGTTTTAATGCAGGTAGGTTTACAAATCCTGCCTATTATGATCTGCTCTGCACAATACACAATAAAATTGAAGAGGGGCAGTTTGGAGTTGCAGCAAGTCCTGAGAAGCGGAATATTCTTCGCACAGCTGTGCATTCCGTAGGATCTCCCCTGTGGACAGAAGAAACACATGTCTCATCATATCAACAGAAGTCAGACCTCGCATTATTCTTTTATTGCCTTCGTTCTCTCATCCGATCCGCTTATGCCGTTTGCGTGCTTACGTTGCCGTCACACCTGTTTCAGGTACGGCGCAGTATTAATTTTCACATTACCGCCTGTTAATGGAGTCGCTGCTGACACTAATACTTGTCCCATGGTTGCTTTATGTTGACAGGAAACATCAATCATAAAGAGATTGGAACATTTATGTGATGCTTCAGTGAGACTGGAGTCATTTGCAGGTTCAGAGAAGGAGACCAACCCAGTTTATAAGGATTATCATGGTCTCTTCCACATAAATCAGCTCCCTGCCATCAACACGTTGATGTCCCACGTTCCAGAGAGTTTTGATCTCGCTTTCAAGTTACGACGAAAAAGGTTTCTCATAGAGGTGAGGAACTTAAATTCCTTGATTATGTTAAACAGCTAAGTAATGCATATCCAGTTTTTTATTAATTGATGCAGCCTTACACTTGTCTCGCCTCTTTGTTTTATTTACTGTACGTTCTCTTTTTTTCTTTTTCCCTGTATTGTAGATTTTGTGGCCTCACATTTTTGGTTTCTGAAGTAATGAGTCTCAGTGCTAGTGGTAATGTTTCTTGTTGATTAGTGATTTTGGCGTATAACTTGCGTGTGGAGCAGGCAGGATAAAACAACAAATCTGGTCATTTATAACCTTCCTAATTCTTATACATTACTTTCCTTGTATTCCTGTACCTCTTGTTTTAGTTTCTGTAGTATATTGTTCAAGTCTGTAAAATGAATGTTCGCTTGTAAGTTGGCTTGGGTTTCATTGCAGAAACTTCATTTACCGCCAGAACTTCAGGAGACAACACAGCGAGAACAGGATGATCTGCCTTCTCTTGCATCTGGTATTTGTGGAGTGCAGACAAGGAGTATTCTTGACTTTTGAGTCCACTCTGTAAAATAATGTTCGTGGAACTTGGAATACATAAATTCAAAGTGCATTTTAATCAATATTCACATTATTCTGAGAATGGTGGAGACATTGGAAGTGCAAGTAAGAAACATGTTGGGAAGATGCACAATGCATTTGAGATAGGTGTGTAAAATAGGTCACTTAGTTTTTTAACGTGACGGCCGTAAAATATAAAATTAGTAATTAAATCTGGAATTGCATGTCTGTGCATTTGGTAAAGTTTTTTAGTTCCTGTAGTGACTTGGTTTTGGCATTCTGTCATAACATTGCATTACTCATTTTATGTCTCAACCCCATCCAAGTACAGCTCAGGCCTCGAGTTAATGCAACATGCCGTTAATGATGCGTGTTCAGATTTTTTGAGGTTCTGTTTCATCTTGTGAAGTGGTTTCTGTGGAGGGTGCAGAGTACAGTTCAGTGCATTTCATGAGCCAGAATTTGATATCGTACAGTGCTAATTATGGCTATAATTTTATGTTCGATTCTGTACGCATTTTGAGATTTACTTCATGCTGTGGTTCAGCCAGTTTCTGTAACATCATGGTCGTCAGAGTCAGCTGGGTGGGTCACTAACAGTAATTGTGATGCAGTGAGTAGGTGGAAGGCAGTCCACCTGTGCACTGAACTGCATCTCCTGCTGCTTTTGATCTAATTCCACTCCACCACATGGGAGTTTCCTTCCTGTTTGTCTCCCCCTCTTTATGTCCTTCCTCTCCGTAGGCTGACCATCACGCTGTCCCCAGGCATATTTATTTCTCCCCCTCCAGTGCACCTGTATTATCAGTGATGCAATTCCAGCAAAGTCTGTGAGCTTGGATCATCAGCTTTACTCCGGAGTGATACAAGGAAGACAGCAGTGTGATAAAACAATGTAGTAGGACGTGTTCATTATGAAGACAACAGAATTAAATGTAGGAAAAGCAGTTCTTGTTTGCTGTAACCTTGTTTTTCTGGTAAGTAGTGTTACTGCCGATTGATCTCATTTTAAACTGCTCTCTGAGACAGAGCTCTATAGCCCCGGAAGGAATCTTAACAATTAAAAAAAAGCAAAGGGAAAATATTAACAAAAGAAGGAAAGCTAAGTAAGATTTACATTGATAAACGTAGAAAAACTTATTTAACAAGAACAGAAGGGAGAAAGAAGCAGACGAACATTTGCAAGGGTGGGGGTTGGACGTAGAAAGTTGACTGACTAAGAGCAGCGAAGTAAAGAAGTAAAATATCAGATTAGATAATGCGCTCCGAAAGGAGCGCATTGCTCTAGTATAAAAAATATTTTAAATGATTGTATTCTTTAATGAGTTCTGTATTTTATGTGCTTTGTTTCATGTTTTACTTGCGTGGACAGAGATTAAATTCTTGTTCAAACCTTAATGTAGACCTTCAGTCCAAATTTCATTGATGACTGAGCAAGCAGACGGACAGACATCACTGCTCCATTACATATTTATTTTGTGCTTTTTGTGGAAGGATCACACACAAAACTTTGTGTGATGTGTTTCTTTGTATAGATTTATGCCTTAAGTTGCTATAAAATTGAATTCCTTGTGCATTTGCAGCTGTCTGGTCTCGCTCTAGTAGTGCTGGGAGCGGTTCTGCTGACTGACGTCCCCCGTGTCCTGCTGTCCCGTCTGCTGGGCTCTCACCACGTGCCAGCTCACCCACTGTTCTACTACACAGCTCTTGGACTGATGGGCACGGGTCTGCTGATCTGTGCTACTGGTGTTCTTGGTTTCTGGGCCACTTGTCTTCATAGCCACTGTCTTCTTGCTTTGGTAAGATTAAATTTGTAGCTTTTAGAAGTGACACTGAACTGCTTTGGTGCTATGCTTTTATGTGAGTAATTGTAACCCTTTACATGCTGAGTTTTATTTAGAAGTACTTCTTAATTTATTTATTTATACACACACATGCATTTGTGTTGATAAAATACCATATTCATTATTAACATACGAACTTCTGTTTTTTCAGAAGTAGTATCACATCAGTTGACACAGCATGACTTTCATTATGCTGCATGTCCCAGAGGGCATGAAATATTACATAAAAGAACAAGCAATGTGTTATGGCCTGAGATTCATAGTCCAGTTGTATTATAATTACTAATGCGTGTGATAACCCACACGATGATTGTCGAACAGCACTCCTCAAAGGCACGTGGTTGGCTGAATATGTGTTAAGATGGGAAATTTTGAATATGCAGTAAGGTCCCAGGCACTGTGAGTCCCGTTATCTGTTGCAGTTTCTGTTTTTCTTGGTCGTGCTGCTGCTTGCTGAGAGCTCTTTGGGAGTGCTGGCGGTTGTCTGCCCTGAGTATCTGGGAGCCACTGTTAGCGTGAAACAGCTGACGCAGTCGCTTCAGAGAACGTACGGTGTTCCAGGGAAGGAGCAGTTCACTGCTGCCGTTGATCTTGCACAGACAATTGTAAGAACCACTTTGAAATGAATTGCGGTTGATTCTTCCCTCTGAAACTAGTGGTCTTTATCATTAGTTTTTGGGTAATTCTTTCATGGTATTGATGCACATTTTGTTTCTTGGTGTCACATCTCAAACCATAATTCTATGTATATTCTTTTCGTCCCTTTACTAAGCCCATCATAGCCTCTTATATTTCACTATCCTACCAACACCGGTTGACCTGTATAAATCGTTGTGTTCCTAGTTATGTAATTTCTCAAATTGGTTGGTTGCTTGCTCCATCATTTCTAGGTCCCATTATTTTCCTGTGCACTTCATTTTCAGGCATTTGTTTATGTTCTACCCTCTCACAGTTTCATGTTTCTCTGTTCATAGTTATTACTTAATAGAACGACGGTTGATCCTCTGTAGATGGTCCAGTAGCTTTGCTCACAACAGTCCCATTACTGTCTGTAGTTTCAGTGTTGCGGGATCATCGGAGCAATAGACTATGATGTGTCATGGTGGCGACTGAGGGAGCTTGGGCAGCCTGACTTATTTTTACCACGATCATGCTGCCTACTCATTAATCCGCCCAGTGACTCTAAAGCATTTCTAGATCCGCATCCCCTGAATATGTCAGCATGCCAGTCTCTTGATCAGGGCCTGTATCGGATGGCACGCCATACGGAGGTGAGTTCAGCGTTCTACAAAGCATCTAAAGTTCCACATGTAACATGCAGTAATTTTTAAATTTAGGAACCACAGTTTTATTCCCATACAGTAATATCAGCACTTGCATTAATGATCTCAGCAGAATATGTAACTAATGATTAATGGTCCATTATCAAAGGCTTAAGCAGACAGCTTACCTAATTTTATATTGATCTGATTGGTATTGTAGAGTTGTCTGAGAAATCCATTTATCAGATTAACCTAGACAAAAGAAAGTGCTAGTTTTCTTACATTGTTCTCAAAACACATACTTTTGCATTTTGTGTATACTTTGAGGCGGAAATATAGTGTGCGACCACATTAATTTGTATACTGAGCGAAGTAGGCTAGTCATGTGGTTTGTGTATGATTTCACATACTCCATTATGTGTATGAGAGATGATTTTAGATTCACTCCGACAGAAGTGTTCTGGTATCCCACAAAAAAGGAATGAGAATATGCAGTGCAGTATTATTGTTGCTGATACATAGCGAATGTCATCAGTTTGAGGTTAAGTGCTTTCTTATCTGAACTGAGCTATTCATTTTGTTTTTCATCTGCCTATTTGTCTCCTCCTAGTTCAGTTCTTTACATCCAGTATTTTAAATAATTTGAACTTGGTAATTTGGTTTTCTTTTTAACTATAGGGATGTTTTGCGCAGTTGGAGATGTGGTTTAGATACCACACGACCCTGTTTCTTGCCATTGGATCTGGTCTTGTGCTGGTAGAATTGTCTGTGCTACTGAGTGCAATCTTCTTATGCTCGAAACTTCCGAAATACCGGCGTTACACTTCAGAGTCACGTGACCCTGGATTGAAGTCAACATGAAGGTGGCTTTTGCCAGAGTGTGGATCGGAGTGGCAGGTTAGAACGGAGGGTGTAAGGGACCAGCAGAGAGTGCATAACAGAAACACGTCAGACTATAGTTCTGGGATGTACCGTGATGTAGGTGCTTGCATAAATTCAAGTGAAAGAAATAGTGCAGGTAAAGGGAGATTTGCAAATGCCATTCCACTAAGGACAGATACTTGCAGTTCAAGCTTCAGGACAGAACCAGGAAGAGCAATGACTCAGACTCTTGCAGGAACTGTTTGTCGAAGCCCGTTCAGTCGAAGTGGTACGTATACACTCAGATGCAATCTGAATCCTTTGGCACTGGATGCTGACGTGTTAAATAAACGGAAGTGTATCTATGAGAAGAACATATCCACACATCCTGGCACAGCCAAGTCTGCATCTTTGCAGAGCAGATTCAGTGCTGTTGAGGAACATCCTGAAGTAGGCGAGGGATCGGACAGTATGAATAGCATGATGTGGTGAGTAACGCTGTCATCCGCCTGGTGCCCTTGGCACACAGCAGATCAAGAAATCGTACAGACTATGAATGGAAAAATATAGTAGTATGTAATTATTTCATATATTTGTGGTACAGTGTACAAGCTTCTGCTATTATTTTTATTTATGCACATAAACTATTGTAGTGATTTTTATACTTTCCAGTTTGCCAAACACATTACACAGTGTATGTAGAGACACATACTTAATAATGGTCTTGCAGGCAAGGGAGTGAGGTATAAAGGTCTCAGCTGTTGGCCATAGCACAGTTGGAAGAAGGATCAATATAGTAAACTGTCTGTATTTACACTTTCATGTTTTCAGAGTAACAAAAATCATATAAATGCACACTCAGAAGTCACAGTTGATGTTATTTTGTACCTCTTTTCAATATAACTTAATTTTCTTGGTGAAATTGATTTTCAAGTAGTGTTTCCCACACTACTTGATTCTAGAAGAACGTGAGAAGTATAATATATTACGCATTATGGAATTCATAAGAACTTTAGTGCCTGTTACAAATCTGGTTGTATCATGTCAATGAAGAAGTTATCGGTTCCTTGCTTCTAGCATACCACCTACCGGTACCTCCACAGTAGCCAGCTGTGTACTGGTTTGTGGAGTTGTTCATCTATTTAAATCACCTTGCACACAAATCTTGTGTCAGCTTTTAATAAAGCTACAAGCTGTGTGATTCTAGGTGGATATCATCATTTTAAAGGAACATCACATCAGTCTTCAGGGTTAAGAATGGAGGTCATTAGTTCCTTCAAAATGGCAGTAGCTGAGAAGACCACAACACTGATTTTAACCATGTTAAATGTAATCCATTGTAACTCAAAATAAATAATGGGATAATATTTTCAAACAAATAAAATGTTAAGAAAATAAATTATGTTCATCTATTAATGTTTTTAAAGATTAGTGTTTTTTTCAGGTTTAATGATTTTTTATTGCAGGTGCAGTGAAAATTGGGTTGTGCTCTCAGCATCTTTTTCCAGCAAGTATTGGGTCCTGTTGGGCTGTTTTATTGCAAATTCCTTCCCACCTAAAAGTACAGTGTTATTACCCAGAAGACCAACATCAACAAAATCCTTCCATCTCCATTGGATGCCCTTGTATTCTTGATTAATATTTTTAAATATTTCTTGGCATTCTGTCTGAAGTAAGTCTTTAGGTGTATTCTTTTCTATTATTTTTAGTGATGTATAAAATGTGTTGTGAACCATGTAAATGCATAATTGTTTTCATTCCTTTTATGTTCTCAAAGGGTGTAACCTACTGTCTACTTCTAAAAATGTAATTCAGCTGATGTTACTTGGTGTTGTGTTTTGTGTGATGCATAACATGATGCAAGTTTACTGCATCCCAGTTTAAAATTCCTGAATGGAATATTCCAAATGAGGTTATGGTATGCCCTGCCAAGATGAAGTCAAAAACCATTTCTATTTTGGTAGGTGCTATTTTCCTTATATATATGTATGTATGTGTATATATATATAAATTTTCTGAATGTCAGGAATCAGTTTCTTTAGAAATCATTTAGTTTGGTAGACCATTAGAAATTATTCCAGATATTTTTATCCACATGTCCAAGAAATGAGGTTAGAAAACACTGATTGAATCGTCATAGCTAACATGTCTTATTCTTACATAGATTCTTCTCAAAACAAGTCGTCGTCATCATGGTGCAGAATATTTTCTCACGCATTGTTGTGGTTGAGTGTAACCATTCGTGCTTTGTAGTTGGAAGGTCCTGGGCTCGGTTCACAGTCTAGAATCTGCCTATCTTTAGGTTTTCTTGTAGCTTTCTCAGTCCTTCAAATCAAGAGAAGAAATGAAACCTTGAAGCTGACCATGCTTCAAGTCTGTCATTCACAAGCATCTTCCCATTGGCACTGTATTCAGTGCAGTTTAGATAATTAAAATATTTTTTAAAGATATGGAGTACAGTTACATAATTCATATAGTAAGTAAGAGGGTTTAACCCCCAAAAATTGACTTCTTTTTCTTGATATTTACAAAATTCAAACCTACATATTTTGCATAATTTTGAGACTTGGTGTCAGTAAATGTGAATAGTCGTATGGTTTAATGTGTTTTGACTAATCTTCATAATAATGTCAGAAATAGTATTGATGTAGAATATAAATGCTATGCAACAGAAAAGTATCAAAACGTTGATTTCAATCTGATGCTCATATTCTCGTCTATCCTACTAGTGCCTCCACAGTATCACTCTATGATGTGTGTGCCAAGTATTTGTTCAACTGTCTGGTGATCAGACTGGGACCTTGCTAAATTTAGAGTGAATCTGAGACACTTGGCCTCAGGGAGTAAAATGTACAGAGAAACAGCTGAACATTCTCCAGCCTGGCCTCTGCGTTATCTCTTTCTGTGTTCTTAACAGTTCAAAAAATTTATCAGTTATAATGTGTTAAATCAGAAAGGTTAAATCCTCTTTCACTCTGTCACATATGACACTGGTAAAGTGTTTCTTTCATGATATTCTACAACATTATAGCAAATTATAAGCAAAAACATGTTAAAATATAACTGACTGGCACATTTAACATTTGTTCATTGTTAAATGAAATATGTCATCCATCAGAATAAATTTCTTTCTGTACCAAATCTGCAACATAAGTAATGGGGTTATACTTAACTCTTCATAACATTGTGTACCTAACATTTACTGCTTTGTTATTTGTTCTTGATTATACGTTATTTAAAAGTATTAACTTAACCTCAATTCCTGTCACCATTTTCCCATCCAAAAACATGGAAAATTTTATGTGCAAATTTTTTTAGCCACACAGATGCTAGAGTTATCACTATATAGTCAAAGTTAGGAAAAATATATGTGGTCGTATTGGTACTAAAGAAACTAATTTTAAAAAAGTATTGTAAAGTGGCATCTGGTGGCTTGATGTACAGACTCATTCAAATTAACCAGTTAAGAGCATAAGTGATTCAGCTGAAGTGCTAGCAGTCTTCTAAGCTGATTTTCTTTCCAAAAATCATAAGTTTGATTTAAACCACACAAACTAGGTAAGAATCTGAAAGCTTTGCACTTATATTTGCCCTGAGGTTCGTCATTTAATATAGTTACAGTTCATATGTGTGATAGTGTTTTAATGTACCATTAGTCCTGTTCTACATAAGATCAGTTTTATCAGTATTCTGACACTTCTTGAAGAGTCCTCCAAGAGTAACAATGTAAGTACACCTTTCTCCATAGCCATAAGAACTTCAAAATATCTCAGAATTAATTAAGACTGGATGTTATGACATCTCAGTTGCCCAACATTTATTATTGAATGGTTTGTATGGATTAATGTTTCTATCTTGTCAAATGGAATTATACTGTATAAATAAGCAGCTTAGAAAATGGGACATAATGTCGGCATGGTATACCTTTTGGACAAACTGTTCGTCATTGTATATGGGTTCAATTCATTATAAGTTTCAATGGTGCAAAGCATTAGTGGGGACAGTCAACAAATACTGTTCATGTTAATCTTCAAATGCAGTAAGAACATGAAAATTATTCAGATAATCCCTGTCTTATGGAAAATAATTGATGTTTAGAAACATCTCAGCAGTGGAGTAATATCTGTTGTTACTGCTGTATTTGGTTAATATACATTAAATTCTGCATATCATTTTTATTTGCAAATTTAACTTTGTTAAATTAAACTTGTTTGAACATGCCTTCAGCTTTTTTGATTGAATGCTAAAATATAGTTCCTTGGAATTGAGTTGCTAATTTCATTCTGCCACTTGCTACTGCATTCTTGAAATTTTAATTGGCACCATTCTGTTTATGTCTACTGTGTAAATATCCCTTAAAGATGATAAAATTTAAAACATTTACCTTTTTGAGTGCATTGACACATACATTTGCTATTGAAAGTGTATTTGTCAGTGTCTGTGGTTACTTAACCTCAATTAGCAGAAGCTCTACATTTAAATTTGCCTCTCAGAATGTTATTTATGTTATGTACATAACCTGTATCATTTATGGAAAACAAAACAGTGATTTCTAAAACACTGTTTTCTCCATGAACATCACTCCAGCGTTTATTGAGACTTGACCATGTGAGAGATACTCGGCCAATGTAGCAATTTATTAATTGATTTACATTCCTGAAGCTGCTGATAGTTGGATTAGAGGTAGATGGTAAAAGGGCTCTGACCAAGGAGAGGAAAATAATTTGCATTATAATTAAAAAATAAAATAAATGAAACATGGCCAGACAATTTATTTTTTTATTTATATTCAACACTGAATTTATAGTGCTAATAGTTTCTGTAAAAAGATTGCATATTTAACAAACAATTCTAAATTATAATGTAATAATAAAGAATATGGTGAATGCATTGTAATATACATAATATACAGAATAAACAATCACATTACATTAGCATTAGCATGGCTCCATATAATTGTTCACTTCTGTATGTTACCAAATGTCTTGGACAGTAGTTTTGGGTTATCTGGTATGTGCTCAACTAAATTTTGAATACATGGAAATAAAAATAAAACAGTATGAATATTACATAAACACGCTGCACATTTTATTATCGCACACTGAAGCAGTTACAAAATGGAATAGTTTAGTGATATTTATTTTGGCCAAACACAATCTGGGCTCTCAGAAGTTACCTTCTTCCAAAATATGAATCCCAAGCGATTGCATTTGTCCTCTGTGGTGTTTTAACATGACGTCACTAGTTTTATCCTGTAGAAAGCTAATGTGCACAAAATATTGCATTTCTCTAGAGTAGCATCAACATGAAAATACGCATAGTGCAAGAATTATATGCACACAATTTTCAGGGAAGATTTGACACTGCTGGCTACTGTGTGGTGTGTCCTAGTATTCAATCAGGCACTAGATTCATTTAAACAACATGTACGGCCATGTATCGACATAGTCATAACAGGAATATTGCATTTCAAGCAGGCGTCTTTTTTTTAAAAAAACTAATAGTAATTTTATTATCGAATTCCACAATAACTTAAAATTTTCAGCATTATATATTAATTCTCTGGCCCCTTCACTGTGTGCCAGTTCCATGTTGCAGGTGGTGTGATGTGTTTGAGCCACCAGCACATACCACAAACAAAATGGAAGGAGGCAGGACAGTCGCTAACTTGAGTCGAGTTCACCCCTGACCTCTTTCAGACAAATTCTTTTGAATGTTTTGTGGTCTAATTAAATTCAGTTATTTCAGAGAAGTAACTGTTTGAGTATTTATTAAAAACTCCAAATACAACAAGCGCAGTACTAAGTAGAAATGAAAAATTAGGCCTTTGTTTCTTTCAGAGATGACAGAAGCAGTACATGACGGTGACTCCAGTGATGCAGCTGTGGTGCAGGATGGAGATCGGAGTTGTTCTCTATTGCTGCGTGATAGGGATGAGCTTCTCTCCCTCAATAGCTGGCAGAGGCGCTTCTACCGTGAGTACGCCATCCTTGCTGAGAGACGATTTGATGCTCTCAGGGTTTGTTCCTTTGGGCAGCATGAATTCTCGGTTGTACTCGCGGTACACGGACTTGCTTTCAGTTTTTTCCTCATGTTTAGCGTGAACCTAAGAGAAATCAAACAGAAGAAACTGTTACATAAATCATCCTTTCTAATTAATTTAATTGGTTTACAGGTTCAAAATTTTGTACACAGTAATTAGATTTAAAATATGAAATATCAAGCAAATTCTGTCTTTGCTGTATTTATATTTTGTACGTGTACAGGCAAGATGTCATTGTTTTAATCATTACTTTAAACTCGGCGCTGCAATAGCTTGCACGTAGGCCACAAACCTTCTTTCATATTCTTCCAACTCAAATTTAGGGAAATTTTTTGTTGGGAGGGGTCCTGATCTCTTGATGTAGGAATTATGAATCCACTATTTACTTTGCTGTCTCTCTGAACTTTGCTGCATGCCTCTACCAAGGCTTGAAGGGTGTTTAAATTTAGCACAGTGTCAGAGAAGAGCAGAGGAATTTCAAGGCAAAGATAGCCTGGCTGCATGCAGTCCAAACAGAATGAGACGCTGCAGTGAAACCGCCGTCCAGAAATTTCTAGACTTTTTCAGCCGCTTCACCTGAACACACTGTGGAAGCACAGACTAAAGAACAGTTTTGTTCTTGCTGAAGCTTCGAACTTTACGAAAATTGACTATTCCTGGCTGATGTATAGCAGAGGCTTTCTAGGAAAATTCTTTTTGGCAGAGAAGACAAGAAAAGTTGGACAAAAGCTGAACTTTTTTCGATTTTAAGTACAGACATTTCAGTGTGGCGAGTAGTGATGTTCACATATTGACACAACTCCCCTATCAATTCTTACTTTCTCATTTGAATTAGGTTCCGCCCCGCCCTTCCCATGCGTACTGCATGGCCCACCAATCTCATGCTCCTTGTTTTGATTACCCCAATGAGTGCATCATGCAATTTCTTCCCCGTAAGCACGAACTTTGTGCTGGCTACAGAGGCTGTGTCGCCCTTAATATTCACTACTGCGTGTCCTGTTCATTGCGGAAGTGCCACAAGCCAAGCGGGAACAGAGTTGCACTTCCGACGTTACGTTAGTGCTACGCGGTCCACAAACTGATTCCGGTTTCTGCTGCCACCTGTTGAGAAAATAGTGAGGTAGGAGGAACGCGGTCGAAGCGACGGGGCCGGTGTGTCACTGGGGAACAGAACACAATATCACGACTGATTCATCCGAGCGCCCTCCTCCTGACTCAGCAACTGGTCATACGAATCTTTTTTGCGAAGTATCTGTTCTGTTTACCCCTTCGAAGAACGAATATCGCCCAAATCAAGTTTAAAAATTCACATCCTACCTCACACGAACCAAATATCAATCGGCAAACGTTGCTTGGTAACGATATGTAAGGATACTGCGCCGTGTTCCCTGGCAGATAACTGACCGACGTTTCAGAGGAGCTTACTGCCTCCATTATAAAGGCAATCTCATCGCCTCTGAAACGTTGGTCAGTCATCTGCCAGGGAACACGGCGAAACATCCCAGAACCCCAAAGTCTCATCTGAGGAGAGAATTGCCGAAGTTGAATAATGTATCTCAGCTTCTCAAAACGCGCTGTTTTTCAGTTCTGGGGCTCAAAGGGTGTGTTGTATTCACATGGAACTCGAAAGTGCGACCCACGACTCGCCCACTTGCAGCAGGTCCTTCCTTCGTATGCGATTAGCACGGTCAGGAGCGCGCGAACATGGAGTATGAAGCAGGGCATTTAGGCATAGATGAGCGGATAATATTAAAATCGGTCATAAATAAACAGGATGCAGTAGCTTCAGTTCCGCGGCGAACCTAGTGCCATGAACCCTAGAGTGTCGTTAAGGCTGGGAATGTCTGTCATCCGGGGCCTTGCTTCTAATTTTAACAAGACAGACAGTGCTTAATGATCTGAAGCCCACCGTCAACGCTGCTCTGACAGAAATGTACTTCGTGGCAAGTTAAAAACTCCACTACGATAGGGCAATGAACGCCCCCCCCCCCGGGGGGGGGGGGGGCGTGTGTGAGTTAAGTGACGAGCAGTGGAATTCAACGCGGCATTCGCTTGGAGCTTCTGCGAAAGACCACGGGGAAACTTCAGTGTCTCGGAATCCGATCATGCACACAGCAGGAGTTACAAATATCGGTTGAGAAACAGCTCTTTGGGGAAAACCAGCCACAGATGGGAGGATAAGGAAGAAAGGTCTTTAAAAAAATGAATTAGGGGCGAGGATGTTGACCGAGCACCTTCGGCACACAAGAGGGAGATCAATGGCGGGGACTTTCTTGACCAGCTGAGCGACTGTCACCTTCTAAAGTAGGACTCCACTTTTATCAGCGAGTTTCACTTCAAATTGGCAGAACTGTACCTCCAGCCGCACTCGGTGCAAGCGCGGGGGGGGGGGGGGGGG